TACATACCAAGGATCTCCAAGAGAATTAACAAGTATGTCTTGGAGAAGGTGAAACCAGGCTGCTCCTTGGAGGTGAGGATTTTTTTTTTAAATACTGGAACCTGGATAGAGGATGAAAGACACACAAGTGTTGAGGACTCTCCTTCATAGGGTCACTATGAGTCGCCTGCGACTCGATGGCACTTAACAACTGGTTTACTTACAAAGTTCATATTCATTGTTTTTCACACCAGATCTTTCTCATTTCCTTAACCCACCCCTCCTTCTGCTCATCTAATTGTGTGATCATATGATCACCTCCATCCTCACCCCTCTGCTCCTACCTTCTCCCCATTAGATCCTCATACACCTTTTACTGGATATCTATTTCTACAATAATGGTCTTATACAGTATTTATCCTTATGGGATTTAGTTCACTTAGCATAATGCTCTCGAGTCCCTCTCAAGTTAGGTAGTGAATTACAAAATCATTGCTCCTGCTGGTGGGATTGTAAAATGGTACAACCACTTTGGAAGGCAGTTTGGCATTTCCTCAGAAAGCTAAGCATAGAAATTCCATACAACCCAGCTATTCCACTGCTTGGAATATATCCTTAGAAAATGAGAACTGAGGCACAGGACTTGTACACAAATGTTCATAGCAGTGTTATTCACCACTGCAAGAACATGGAGGCAAAGATTTTGAGGCTCTACCTCATGTGTTTTGGGTGTGTTTCTAGGAGGGACCAGTCAGCCCTTAGATATCATACTTGGAAGGGTAGAGGGACAGCACAAGAGAGGAAGACCCCAATGAGATAGATTGACACAGTAACTGGGGTAACGAGGCTGTGTCAGAGGCAATGAGATTGGCTCAGGATAGAACAGGGTTCAGAGTATAAGGTCATAGTCCACTCAACAGTACATAACAGTAACAACAGTCATTTTAGTGTGTTGTGGTGTCAAGCGTTTGTTGTTATAACTCTCCCAGCCATTGATAAAATTTATTTTGTGCTCAAGTATTTATTGTATTAAAGAGATAAGATTGGGGTGGGATACAAAGCCCAACACTACCCAAGAGGTCTTTATAAACTCACAGCAGCTCTGAGCTTGCTCTCTTGGGATGTTCACTCTCCTGGGACACAGCATCCAGCTGCGCTGCAACTGACAGTCTGTGGGATCCTGACCCCATCACCCAAGTCACTACAACACTGGCCCACATCACCCAAAGTTGTGTGAAGCATTTTCCTGACAGGTTTCCGTTTCTGAGACCTTCCAATTGAGTCACAGAACCCAAGGGACACAGAGAAGTGGGGGAACTGAACAGGGGACAAAGCTGATTTTGGAAATAATGAAAGTGGTACAGCAAGCAGATAAAGCATTTGGGACATTGTTGACTTGTCTTTTAGTAACTAGTCTGCTATTAATCCTAGCAGAATGGATTATAAATATACTTGTAGCAGAATGGATTGTCAATATGTGTTAATCTACCAGATCCCCAAATCTAGAAGACCCAAATGCTGGCTAATTCACTGTGGTTAGGTGCCAACAAATTGTTAGGTGCCAACCCCTAATGAGCCAACATAAAACAGAATGAAACTAATTCTGTGCCATCCTCACTCTCTGCTGTGTTCAATTCCTCCTGTCGTTGTGTCAGTCTATCTCCTTTTCTTAAAAAAAAAAATTAATGGGTGTTCAGAAAGGTTGGCTTTTCATTCACTAATGCATTTTCTTCCCTCTTTCTTCCCCCTCCTCCAACTCACTTATAGTGCACTTCTTGTTCCAGATTGGTAAATATATCAACCCATCCTCTTGAGCATAGTCTATTTTCAATGACCCTCTACTTTACAAGCAGGATTTCTTTCCTCAAGGACTAGCCCTTCCTGATAGCATGCCCAATGTTTAAGAGAGCAAGTCTCATCATCCTTACTTCTAAGGAACATTCTAGCTGTATTTCTGCAAATTCATTAAGGCAATGAAGAGCTGCAGAGCTGACAATGATCAGCTTTCCCTTGTGACATACCAGTGTCATAGTGCAAGTCTGGTTTGGGGGGTTTTTAAGTTGTAAAGATAAATTAGAAAGTTAGATCCCAAAGGGATGGACCTCCTTCCTTGAAAGGAAATATAGAGAGGCTCATTGTGTAGTTTTTAAAACTTTCTACCAAATGGAGATTAGAACTGTTCAACAACCTAAGTAAGAGATGAAGGAATCAAATTATATAAAGTCTTCCACAGGCTGAGAATTTACAGCAGATTTAAATATAAAGATGAGGGACTGGTAGAAGATTATTCAGTGGGTAAAAGAACAGACAATACAGTAAGAACAGTAAGAGAAAAAACAAAGAAATGGAAGCTCCAAGTTGAGGAAAAAAAATTTAGGTATGTTGCATTTAAGTCGTCAACAAAATACTCAAATGGAAAGATCTAAAAGGCAACTGATAATGACTTCAGTTTAGATTTGTTAGAAGAAAAAACATATATCTGTAAAAGGACCTCTAAGGGAAACAAAAGAACAGAGCTTTGGGTATCTCATGGGTTCAACCATTTTCTCTTGAAGTGAAATGAGTAAAGCCAAGTCAGGATGTACACAGATGCTTTTATTTTAGATGTTAAAATACATCAGCATTGTATGCAAGATTCTCTAACAATAGTTTTCTCAGTACCTCAAAAAAAATTTAGTCAGGCTAATTGCTGTTTGAATGTGAAAATCTTACAACAAAATGGATTATATGCGCGTAGTCAGTTTCTACACAAGTATGGCTGCTATATGTGTGTCGGGCACTTTTACAATATACTGAAAAATAGTAAATGAACACAACTGTATAAAGGTGACTAAAGGTGCCCGGCATGTTGAAGACAAAAAATCTTTTTGCAAAATGCAACAAAGCTGTTAACAGGAGGATTCAACCAATACCAATTCAAATATATGCCCAGGCTTATTTGTAATATATTAAATCTGGGGATAATTTAATGCTCAAGAAAAATTATGCTTTAAAAAACATAGCTCTTCAAAAAAAATAAATAAAAAATAAAAAAAACCCCATAGCTCTTCCAAGATACTATACTTCGGTGGTCAGAGATTTCATACATGCAAACCAGCTAAAAGCTTCATTTAAAAAAATAGAACCAACAAAGCAAAAACCATTATATGCTATTAGTTTAAGGTAACTAAAACAATCCAGTATGATTTTTTTTATAATGACTGGTCTTACAAATGAAATTACTGTTAGAAGTTCATTAATTAGGAAACAACCTAAGACTTAATCCTTCTAAGATTCAAATTGGTTTATCTATTTGTTACCAATAAGGCATAATCTTAATACCACACTTTCTCTTTGCTCCTCACTACATTTAATATGCAAAATCTAGCAAGTAGATTAAAAGAGCTTAAAGTCCTTTTAAGTTTACTACTCAAGAGCTAGGCATTAAAATACTTAGTATTTCAATTTCTAGTAATATAAATTTTTTTTAAAGTATTCTGGTATTTGCGAGAATTTGCTTGGTAATGGTTGATTCCATTAAGTTAACTTGAGAACTTGCCATCATTTGCCTTTTTATCTTTTTCACACAGTGCAAGTGGTGGTTGCTCTTTCCTTCTCTCATAGCAGCAAGCCGATTCTGCTATTGTCTATAGCAGCACACTTCAGGAGTGGAGAGGGAGAGAGTATGTCAATTATAAATAATTAAAACTACAGTGTACAATTTTATTTGCCTGTCAGTATTTACATTGACAGTACACCATTATAGGCCTCAAAAAATTACATAAAATCTACCACAAAAGCGAATAAAAGACATTCTTTCAAGAAAAAAATAAGTGCAAACACCTAAAACAGGCAACTGAAGCAACTGTTGTAACCTGTTGAGAAACAAAACATTTATATATAAAAGGACAAAATATATTATAAATAAAAGATATTGTTCTCTACTTCTGAAACATTGAGTAAATACAATAAACTTCTAAGTGCAGACTGTTTTCAGGGACCAAGGTATATTTTTTTAAACAAAACAAAATGCAAAAATTTCAAACACATATACAAATCACCAGATTAATTTATATGACCCCCAATATAATTTAAAAAGAAAATATTAAATTATTATTTAGTACAGTTTTAGAACTACTTTATAACCAACATGATTTAAAGGGTATAGTGCAATATTTAGGTAGATGTGACATACAGAATGGATATTATATTCTTTGAAGCTATAACTTACTATTGTTTCATATTTAAAGGTCAAAATTATTTTTTACTGTTTGCTGTAATGACAGGAAACAACACTGGCTTCTAGATACCTTACATATAAATATCTACATTTAAGCTTTAAAAATGAAAATAAATTATAAAAAAAGACTTCTTTCCAATTTACAGTTTCCCTGCTCCTACATACTGTACAATACATTCAACAGAAGTCTCAGCTCTTCTGAGATTTATGAAAATACTGACTTTTTACTAAGGAAAAAAAACCTTTCTCAATGCTTTTTTTCAGTACCATGCTCAAATAAATACATTTAATACTGTAGTTACTTTTACTTTTTAAAAAAATACCAAAAATTAGTAGTGCAACTTATCTTCCTTCAAATTCATTTTCATTGTGTTTCTTTTTAGATTATCAACCTAAGTATGTTAGCACACAGGCAGAAGTACTTCATAAAATCATGTCTGCCTCTCAGATGGAGACTAGTTTCAGAAATTACCTATCAAAACAAAAATGCAGCATCGAGAAAATAGGAACATGTATCTTGTGGAAAAAAAATAGGTGAAAATTTACTTTTAGAAAATCTATAAACATTCTAATTACGTTCCCTGTCTTGTTCTTGAAAAACCATTTAAAAAAGTATCTTCTTTTAAAAAATAACCTATGAAATTGCATAACCTTACTTAAGTGGCTTAGCTTTATGAATGCTCATATTTTTTAAAAAATGTGTAAACCATCTTAGGCTTGTATTAAAACTTCAGAAATAATTGACAAAAATGTCTTTATAACCTAATTTAGTGTAGAAGTAGTTCACGAGTTCTAACAGCAGTTACAGTATTAGAGCCCTAGAAGTGCTGCTGGTTGTCGTGTAAGCACTTAGGTATCTTCTTGCTTGTTCAGTCATGATGAGCTGGTCTTCTGTCTTCCCATAAACCACTGTTTCCCATTCACAATTTGACTGGGAAGGAAATATAATCACTGATATGAAAATTACTGTACCAACTATTTATCCTACTTAACAATAAACTTTGAAAAGTCAATTCTTTTGGCTAACTATATGATTTACATGCCTCTGAAGGCAGGCTAAAATTCTGTCCCCAATATATATAATATTTAGAAGCCATATTGATATATAGTTTCCAAATAATGAGTGAGCCTTAATGAGGGGGGAAAGTCAGCCTTTCCTGTTTCAACATTCCTGAAGAAAGTTTTAAAGATATACTGTCAAGAATGATGTGTCAATGCTTTATGTCTTAAAAACTAGGTCATAAAAAAAAAAAACCCAGAAAAAAACCCCAAAGAACTAAGTCATTTATTGATAATACAAAATCAAGTTTATGGTTGGTTGTTTTCTTCCCTTATCATTAGTACATTTCAGGTCTGACCAGCTATACTGTAAATTTTCCTGAGAAGTTCTCTTAATTAAATGCTAGGAACTCAAATTATTTTTTTCCCCCAAAATTACTTTAAAGAGATCAAAAGAATGTACTTCTTTGAAGAGCAATAGCCCAAGCCAGAGGTAAGGAGGCCATATTTGATTGGCAAAGACTTTCAAGAAATGCTTTAAAGTCAGGAACACTAATGCTAGTGTTTGTGATGTGAAGAAAACTCTCACACCTCAACACTCAAATTCTCTAGAGTGAATTCTTAGCAAAAAAATTTTCCAGTCTTCATTTGTAGATATACGCTGGTTGCACTGAAGCAAGAAAAAGATCTTGCTTTATAATTTCTGAGCCAAAGAGTTCACTGGAAACCATCAAGCCAACAAAATAATGTTGTTTCCAACCACTTACCTTTTCATGATAGCAAATTAGGGCTATCTATATTTGTCGAAGGAGAAGAGGGACCAGAAGTGGATTTAGGTTTTCAAAAGCAATGACACTTAAGAAAATCACTAGCAAAGTCTTAGGCTACAACTCCAGTTATTTTGTTTATATGTGCTCTGATGAATGAGTTTCTAAAAAATTCAAAATCCAGTGTGAGCCACATAATAATTTAAGTGAAGGTTTAGGTACTGCTACAGTAAATTGCAAGGAGCCCTAGTGTTGTAAGCGTAATGCAGATCCCTTCTAACCAAAAGGCTGTTCACTTCCATAAAGATTTACAGCTTTGGAAACCTAAGAGATAGCTCAACTCCACTCTATAGGATTTCTATGAATGAAAATTGACTCAATTGCAAACTACTACTACTACTACTACTATTCGCTGCCTTCGAGTCAGAACTGAGCTGACCCTCTAGTGGGTTTTCAGAGGCTGTAAATCACAAAGGAAGAGATCATCCATCTTTCTCTGGTGCAGCAGCTGGTAGATTTAAATTGCCTGCCTTTGGGTTAGCAACACAAATATAATCTGTGATCAGTAAATGCAAAGTGATAATTGAATAAACAACAAAAATCACTGAAAGAAATGTATAAATCCATACCTGAAAATTCTTTTCCAATTTGACAACTTTGGAAATGTTAGGGTTTGGTTTCTTTTTTGTAAGTGTACATGTTTTGTTGGTTGAATTTATATCTTGTTTTTCAGGAGTCAAGTAGCACCTATTATCATGTATTTTCAATAATGGTATCATTAACAAAGATGTATATATATTTTCTGACTAAGGGAGAGAGAGAGAGAAAAAAAAGAACATAAAATAACCAATTCAAAAACGGGAAAAAAGGGAGGGACTACTGAGTAAGTGGTAGTGGAAGTTCTCCAAGAACGCTTTTGGCTCCTTTGAAATTCTGGTAATGTAGTCATAGTAAGTATAAACAAAACAATTAGCATGGAAATGTAAGGTTTTTAGTAGTACCAATTTTTTACATCATACATAAGATAACTATCAAAACAACTATCAAAAAACAAGGATATTCTCTAGTTAGTAGTTTATCTTTGAATTACACAGGATGATATTAAAGGAAACTCCATGAAAATTCTTAACTGGTCACATAATGATTGAAAGTAAGAAAACTAGGACTTAAGTAAATTATTTTAATAAAAAACCAAACAACAACAACAAGAAATCAGCTCATTACAAACCTGCATGTCTGAAGTGTCTTCAGTTAATAGTTGAGTGTCTGCTTCTTTTTCCCAGTTATCTAAGACTAGTGATTTTCTGACTTTCTTCACAGACGCAGTATGCTGGAATAAACAATTTATAAAGGAAAAATCACGGAAGAGTTACTTGGAAAAGATGAGACTTTTGTTAACTGTAATACTAAAAGGTCACCTCTTGTTTACAACTTTTGTAAGCAGGTTCATCTTCCTCTTTCAGAAATATGTCTGTTCCAGTTTCTTCTTTTAAAACTTCCCGAATATCTTCTTCCAAGAAGGCAAGAGGCTGTGACTGAATTTTTTTAAAAAGAATTTTGTAAAATCTTTTATAGTAGTCTCTTTCTCCCCATATACAGCAAGCGCTCTTCTATACTTTTTTCACTATTAGCATAGTTTTTCTTAGTACATATATATATATATATTAATCAGTTTTATATATCAATTATATACATACTGAAAGCATTAATGAAGTGTGATAGTTTCTTCATTTTAAGCTACTAAACAACCATCTTACCTTCACCTAAGAGCTTTAGTTAACAGGAAGTAAGTATTTACATTTAAAAACAGTAAAAAAAAGGAAAGTATGGAACAAATTGGAAACGCACTAGTTCTTTTTCTGCATCTCCCATTTATGCTACACTTAATTTCTGGTTGACATGTTTCTTAACACTATTAAGACTAAAACCAGGGACCAAGCCCTTTTCATCTGTGTACATTCAGCCTTTAGTGTGCTGTCCAGACAGCATTCAAGAACAAAACATGTGTACGTTTGTGTGTGTGCGCACGCGTGCATGTCAACTTACAAATCTATCTGTGAAAATACAAATACTCTGTGTGCTGAAAATAGATGGAACACAAATTCATTTCATTCACTAACAAAAATTACTCGTTTAATTGTTCTAAGGTGACAAAAGCAAAAACTGCTATATTTAATACTTTTCCAGGTTTAATTCTAAAGTAAATGGAGATTTATATCTTTAAGACTTAAGAGCTTTCACTTTTTTGACTGAGTTTCAGTGTGCACTATAAAAGTCAATGTTTACAAAAAGGCAACAGGTATTTATAATGTATGTGATGAAAATTCTAAGGACAATCTCCAAAATGTGTAGTGCTGATTTAAATTAAGATGAGTAAGTGAAGTGGTTAGCACAGAGGAAGTGATTAGCAAATAAATGGAGGAGAAGAGCACCAGGGTTTAAAAATTAGCTTTCCACAAAAACATGTATGAGTCTAACAGGTATTTTAGGAATTTAATTACTTAATAATTAACTTTTTATCTTAAGTTATTTATGAAAACTATGTTTTATCAATAATTTCTAACCAAAAAGCTGTCAATACTGCTAATATTTTATATTAGAAATGCCAGAAAGCTAAGAAACAAACCTACAAGGACTTCATTCTAAGGAATTTGCAAGCTATTTTCTCATATAATCTTAAAAAAATGATTGTTTTCCTCCAAATTATAACCAAGTAACCCCGATGCACTATAAAATTTTAAATATCTTCAAATCACTGTTTACTGCTCTAACCCTCTATTAATACACACATCCTTATTCATACCTGGTACATTCACCACTGTATCTCCAAGTTTCTAGTATAGTGCCTGAAACCTAGTAGGTACTCAATGAATACCTACTGAACTAATGAAGAATTTGAAAATGAATAAACTATTAAAATAGATTATTTAAATAAAATTGCTAACTCCACACAATGGACTGGTATCAAAAGAATAAAAATTTTAAGTTAAATATATGTGTTCTTTAACTTCATTAAATTAAAAGAGCAGACTACAAAACAATGAATAAAGTGTGATTTCACTTTTTTTGGTGTATATAAGACTAGACAGCACTAAAAAATATGATTATACACAGTGGAGTTAAGTGACAAAGAATTAATCCTATTGGATATCCTCTAAAAAAGGCTAGAATATTTAAGAATATGAAATGTCTTTTGGTAGAGTGATTAAACCAAGTAAACTAGAACTTAATTTATACTCTGGTGGCTTAATGATGAGGAATTGCACTGCTATACCAAGGCATGTGGTTCCAAGCCACCAGCCTCTCTGGAGGAGAAAGATGGGCAATCTCCTCAGATGTGTTTTCCTGTGTCTGAAAAGCTAGTGAAAGGTCAGCTCTGAAAGAGTTCTTACTTGACAGTATACAACCACCACCCATATAAGAATAGAGGGAAAATATAGTAACCTAAGAAAAGTGACTACTATTTTTAAAATATTCTTATGAAACCCTAATATCAGAAATCTACATCTGACTAGAATGCCCATGTTTTTCTAAACTGTTTCAAAGTTGACACAGATGAAAGCACATATCACTAGAATATTTTCCAATGCCATACATGATGTATCTACTATTACTGTTGTTGCTGCTGCTCCTGTTTCCACCATATTAGGATAACAATAGAAGCAACTAAGCACTGACTACTTGAAAGTCAGAATGAGTTCCTTTTATTATCTCCTATCTTCATAGTAACCCCTCTAAGGTTATGCTCCACTGCAAAGAGAAAACTGAGCCTTGCAGAGGCATCCTGCTCAAACAGCTTCTTAAATATCATTATGGAATTGATTTATTCATACAAAAATGTTAAAATTACTTTATTTTACTACATGTAATCAATACTGGAACTACTGAAAGTGTAAGAGTCTACGAAAAGGGTTCCTTACACTTCACCAAAGAAGACATTCAGATGGCTAACAAGCACATGAAGAAATGTTCAAAATCCCTAGTTCTAAGGGAGATGCAAATTAAAACTTTGAGACATCATCTCACCCCAGTAAGAATAGGAAAATTTAACAGAACAGCAAGCAACAAATGTTGGTGAGGTTGTGGAGAAACTGGAACCCTTATTCACTATTGGTGGGAGTGTAAAATGGTGCAACCACTGTGGAAGGTGATATGGCGCTTTCTCAAAAAGTTACAAATAGAGGTACCATTTGACTCAGCAATTTCACTACTGGGAATATACCCCAAAGAGACCATAGCTGACATCCAAGCAGATATATGCACACCCTTGTTTATTGTGGCTTTGTTCACAATAGCAAGGAGTTGGAAACAACTTAAGTGCCTATCAACAAACGAATGGATAGAGAAGCTGTGGTATATTCACACAATGGAATACTATGCTGCATTGAAAAACAAGGAACTCATGCAATATTATTCAAAATGGGTGACCCTGGAGGACATTAGGCTGAGTGAAGTATCTCAGTCACAATCTGCATGGTGCCACTGCTGTAAAACAGGACTAACCTTGGGGTTGGGGAAGAGACTGAGAAAGATGGGTTCAATAATGTATACTGCATTGAAACAGATGAGGGAGAAAACTGTTTAAAAGGGATATGTGGTTAGGTATTTTTGTCATGACAGGCATCTAAAGCAAAGGCTACATGGTGGAGTGGACCTGGGGGAGGGTTTGTAAAACAATGAAAGAATTTTTCTTTTACTTTTCCAAGAGGGTAGTGTACTAGGAGGAAGGGTTGGGAGGGGAGAAAAGTGCAACAATGAATGAATGGAAATCCAAAGTCTCTGTAAATTTTTACTGAAATTAATAATAAATTTTAAAAAAACACAAAAAAGAAAAGGGTTCCCTCAACTGACAGTTAATTTTTTTCTCTAGTTGATAAAAAAAACAAACCAAACCCATTGCAAGTGAGTAAAGTACACCTGACAGCAGCCCTGTAGGACTGGGTAGAGCTTCTCATAGGGTTTCCAAGGTGGTACATCTTTACAGAAGCAGACTTGGCTTAGCTCTCTCCAAGCCTCAGATGATATAAAGCCAAAACCAAACTCCCTGCTGTAGAGTTGGTTCAACTAAAGGCAGCTCCATTGATTTCTGGAGGCTGTAAATCATAAGGAGAACAGATTGCCTCATACTTCACTCACCGTGGCTGATGAGTTTAAACTGTCAACACTTAACCCACTTAAAACACTCCAGAAAAAAAAAACAAACACTCCAGGCAAGGGATTTATTTACAAGAAAAAAATTAATGCAAATTTAAAGCTCACAGATCAAAATATAAAACTTTGAAGAACAGGCTTTTTAAAACTGTTCAGAATTAAAGTGGCTAAATATTATAATTTGCTAATACTAGGAAAACTCTTAAAAAAAAAGAGTATACAAGGGAGCTCTGGTGGCCTAGTGGCAAGAAGCTGCACTGCAATTCCAGAGGTGCTTGGTTCGAATCCACCAGATGCTCTGCTGGAGATGCAATTTCCTCCTGTACCAGTCAGATCTGATTTGATGGTGTACACACACACACACACACACACACACACACACAAATAAAAAGAATATACATACCGGAAATAGCTTGCCTCCAGAAACTCTACAAACTAGAGAAACGATGGAATTTATACAGATGTTCAGGTCTTTCGTTCATAGGGTCACTGTGAGTTGTCTATGACTCAATGGCACTTAACAACAACAACAGATCCTGGACAGAAGATCTCTTCAATGTAACACATCTTTTGATTTCTTGACTACTGCTGCCAAGAACTATTTCGACCCAGGGCAAGCTTGCTCCCTTTCTTATAGGTAACCTTAACACCGAGTCTTGCTCCAGACCTAAACTGGGTTCAGGCCCAGTTCCAGAGACAAAAGGGAAATATAACAGCCAGCTAAGGAAGTGAAGTAGGACGGAGCCTCAGAGCTCAAGCAGCCATCCCCACTGGACCCACCCTGGCAAACACTTTGCAGTCCAAACGGCAGAAAATGTCAGGAAAATAATCTTCTAATCGAACAAGAAGGCATGCCACTTCAACCCAGGACCAACAGTAAAGTGTTAACATGGACTCCCCTTCCCCCTTCACCTCAACACCTCTGTTCAGCATGAAAAAGCCAGAGAGTCTGCACCTCATTCCCAAATGAGAAACCCACAAGTAAATAAGATACTTTCTTCGTTGAAAAAAAATTAATCACCATTGGACTATGCTCACCATTACCCTGTCTCTTCTGGTCCCCACTGGATCTTTATTGTGCAGCCCTGTGATTTCATCCCTGCCCATCCTTACTCTTCTGTTCCCAACCCTCACCCCCTTGAGTACCCATACATATTTTTTACAATAAAAAAAAATGACGAGGCTTCACCTAAAAAAAAAAAAAAAAGAGTATACATACCACAATTTTAAGAGGTCCATATTTTTTCTCCTGAGCAGCAAGTGCATTCTTAAAAGGAGTAGGAGTTCTTGGTGTGGTTCCCAACAGAGATCTTCTAATAGTAGGTGTTCTAAATCTAACCAATCATTTAGAAAACTGTATTATAGTAAAAATTTTATCTAGTCTCATTAAGGAAGCAAAATTAAGATGAAAGGATATAATAAATATTCCTGTATTAATATATGAATTTTAAATATTTCAGTGCAATTGTAAATTATGCCTGCTAAAGCTAAGTCTTATTCTAATCATCTTAAATGACAGTAATAAAAGAATATAAAACTAAAAAAGAATATATAACTAAAAAACATTTTGCTTGAAATTCATCTGAGACTATTTTGCTGAATTTTTCTTCTGGTATTCTAGAGATAAAACATACTATTAATATTTTTTTACCACTAGTTGCACAGAGATGGGGATTATGACATATTCATAAAAAGCTATGGATATATTTTTCATATAAAAAGCTACCCTACCTGCTGAAATTGTACTTTCAATTTTCTCTAATACAATTATTTAGTATCTACCTACCCTACATTTTCCTTTTGATCTTTGGGGGTTGCTTCCTTATGAAGAGGAGTGGTAATGAGGACTTTCTGTCCACAAATCGGAGTTGATGTAAATGAAGGATTTTCCATGTTAAGTTGTTCATTTGCAGGGCATGTGTTAAAAAACTAAAAAGAGAATTTAAAGAAAATCTTCTTAATATTATAAATTTATAAGTTTTAAAATCAAAATCTCATTAACATTAAACATTAAATTGATGATCTTGTAGTTATGTCATTTCTCTCAGGAAGAGTATTAACAATATAGTTATATTCTGCTTCATGTAAAGTAAAGTGCATGATGACAGGAATTTTTATGTTCTATTCATTGCTGTCTCTGAGAATCATGCTTGGTACATAAAAGGTATTTTTTTAAAAATGCTTTTAAAATTTTCAAAACTTAAAAAAAAATTTAAAAATGTAAAAGAAAACAGTAGTAATTCTCTCAGAAAATGTAGAAGCTTTTTTAGCTGTTATTCATAAATAATCCTAAGTGGTGTTTTCTATGAAAATACTATGAATTCCCTTTAAAGAATTTCATTTTACTTGAATCTACAATCAACTCATGAAAGCATAAGTCAATAAACTAGATTTTCATGTTGGACAAATATATTGTAAAGATCTCTTTTAAACTGTCCCAAAGCAAAGATTTGAGGACTAAGGCACATCTGGCCCAAGCCATGGTTATTTTCAATCAATTAATATGCATACAAAAGCTGGACAATTTTTAGGGAATTGATGACTTTCAATTATGGTGTTGGCCAAGAGTGCTGAATAGAATGCTGACACAAGAAGTCTGTTTTAGAAGTATCACCAGAATGTTCCATAGAAGCAAAAATAGTGAGATTTTTGTCTCAAATCCTTTGGACATGTTATCAGGAGGGACTAATTAATCCCTTGAGGATTTTAAAGCTTGTTAAAAGTAGAGGAGGGAGCTCTGGTAGTTTAGTAGTAAGGAACTATGCTGACATCCCAAAGACACACAGTTTGTATCCACTAGTTTCTTTGAGGAAGAAAGTGAGACTGACAGTCTCTGAAAGAGTGTAAGAGGACCATCTATGAGTAGATTCTAACTCATAACAACAATAAAATAGTCAGTAAAAAAGAAGAAGGCTCTCAAAGAGATTCACTCAGCGGCTACAAAAACGAGCCCAAACATAGGAAGGACTGTGAGAGCAGCTCAGAACTGGGCAGTTGTTTTTTTCCATTGCACAAAGAGTTGCTATGAATTGAAATTGACTCCATGGTACCTAACAGCAACAACCTTCAATTCAGAATGAAAAATTAATGTTTTTCTGATAAGAAAAATAGCTTGAAAATTTCTATCAAGAGTACAGTACAGAACATATATCAAAATATCACCCTGTGCTATCACATGGTTTATTTCCCAAATTACATATTGGAGTTATTTATTGGATTGTAACATATATAACTGTGAAATGCTTATTTTCATAGCTAACAAATTAGAAGGATTAGTAATGGAATATAAATTAAGATATATGTAGGATGATTTCTTGTTCTATCACTTATAACTTGATGGCAATTTACTTAACTCTAATAATTTATTCCACCTTAAAATTAGCTTTCAATTCTTAAAATCCTATAGTTGTTAGGTGCTGTCAAAGTACAACTCATAGTAACCCTCTGAACAACAGATCTGGAACCTACCCTATCCTCATCATCTGTGACATACCTGAGTCTATTGCTGCAGTCACCATGTCAATCTAGCTCACTGAGGGTCTTCCGCTGTTTTGCTGACTCTCTACTTTTCCAATCATGATGTCTCTTTCCAAAGAATAGCCTCTCCTAACAACACATCCAAAGTATGTGAGATGAAACTTCTCCATCCTTGTCTCTAAGGGACACTCTGGCTAAACTTCCTTCCAGACATTTTTATTCTTTTAACGGTCAATGGGATACTCAGTACTCCTCTCCAGTACCACAACTCAAACGCATTGATTCTTCCTCTGTCATCTTTATTCACTGTGAGCTCTGCAACAGTGCCTCATTAGCTACAAATTAAAATCCAAGTTCTTTCCTTAGATATAAAAAGTCCTTTACAGACAGGTCCTATATTCCCAATCATTTCCCACATAAGAATTTACCCTTCAGCAGTCAAAAAAAATTAAAAATCATTGCCATGGAGTTAGAATCAACTCATAGTTGTTTTTCTGAGGCTGTAAATCACATGAGTAGAAACTGTCTGTCTTTCTTCCTTGGAGCAGCTGGTGCATTCAAACCATATGCCTTTGTGTTGGCAGCACAACTACCTACCAAACCAGTTGAATACAATCAGCATACAAAACTCTAAACACAGAAATTTGCAAGTGTACCCAAAATGGTTTGCCACTTGGGGAACAGTGCTGGGGAACAGATTATACACATTTCAGTCTACTCACATGGCGTTCTCTAGAGCACAGGTGGCACAGTTTTCAGAGATCATAGTGATTGTATACTGGCATATCCTCCTCATCTTCCCAGGCTTTAAACATATCCCCATCCAAATCCCAACATGCTCCAAGGCTTCTTTAAACATAAAGCATTTTAACTTCTGTCACGATGCTTTCAATTAACACCAGTTCCACTTCGATTGACAAATTGCTTGATTTCTGACTTTCATTCCAACTACCAGCAGCAGTCAAGAAATCAAAGATTTGTTGCATTTGGTAAAGCTCCTATTAAAGATCTCTTTAAAAAGTGCTAAAGAGCCAAGATGTCAGTTCAAAGACACAGTGGACCTAATTCAAGCCACGGTATTTTCAGTTGCTCTATGTGCACACGAGACTTGGACAATAATTAAGAAAGACTGAAGAAGAATTAATGACTTTGAACAGTGATGCTGGTATTGACTATATCATGAATTGCCAAACAAACAAAAATAAAAACTTCTTGGAGGAAGTTTTAGAAACAAGGACAGTGAAACTTCAGCTCACATACTCTGGGCATGTTGTCAGAAGTATCAGTCCTTGGAGAAAGATATAATACTGTAGGTGAAGGTCGGAGAGGAAAGTCCCCAATGATATGGACTGTTACAATAACTTCAACAGTGGGTTTGAGCACAGCAGAGATAATGATGATGGTGCAGGATAAGGCAAAGTTGATCAGAGTTGATCACTGAAATCATAGTTGACTCAATGACACCTAACCACCACCATCACCTTCCAAGATGTTCTGAAAAAGGATTAAGTGAAATGTTATGTAAGAAGTGGTCAGCACATAGCCTGGAACAGTGCAAGTGTTCAACAAGAAAGGTATTATAATATAAGAGGTACTACATATCCAAATATAGACATCTGCTGCTCAGGCACATTACTCCAAGAGAGCAAGCACAAACATCCCCAGAACACCCTTAACACATGGTCTCGTATAGAGCAGCTGTGTATTTCTTTCAGTGAACATCAAGAAGGAAAATTCAATAAATAGATTAAAATATAAATTATTCTACATAGTTGAGGTCTCTATTTTATGAAATACATCTGCTGAACAGTAATTCAGGGAAATGAATCTTAGTCTTGCCATTATGTAACTTTGGGCAAATCATTTTACCTTTCTGGGCCTACTTACTGATGATCTCTAATTTGGAATTACATATTTTAAAAGCTCACTCCAGACAGTGAGAAGAACAGCTGCATAACTTTTAGGATGTATACAGTGTTACTGAGGTGTACATGTAGAAATTATTGAGATGGAGTTTTGTCATGTATATTTTTACCACACAAAAGTAAAATTTTAAGTCCCATTAGCTCTAAAAATGACAAATGAGCATAATGAAACTACCACACTTTGTGAGAGAGCACCAATTAACTAGTGGCAAGAAGTTGTGCTGCAATCCCAAAGGCACATGGCTCGAATCCATCAGCTTCTCCATAGGAGAAGGATGGGCAATTTCCTCCTGTGCAATTAATTGCTTCTGAAAATACACCAGAGAGGGTCCGCTATGGGTCAGTTCCAACTCGACGGCACATAACCACCACCACACTTTGTGAAATGAGAGTTTAGTACTCTCATGTACATGTCTAAACACGTCATCCATTCTCATATATTGTCAGAGTAACCACTGCTAACGAAACTATTAAAGATCTAATTTTGATCTAGATCATTAACATTCAGGGAATACAAACACTCTCTCACACACAGAACCTACCTGTGACGGAGAAAATGGTAGTGTTTTTACCGGTGTGTGTTTTAGTGCTGTATTCCCACCATCACTGAATGGGCCATCACCAAGTTCGCTGCCAGGGGAATGACCCCCTCGTATTCTTTTCTTCTTTCTGAGGATGGTTGGTGGAGTGCTAAACTTGGCCATGTTTGGAGATGCTGGAGGAACAGCCTCACTGTCTCCACCATTACAAATGTTTTTTTTCCCTTCAAGTACAAGACTGACATTAAATTGACATTCCATAGGTCCTTCATTGTGCTGAATCCGCATTAGCTTAACTGGAGTGGACTTAACAGGAGAAGCAGCAGCGTCAGAAAGATCAAAACTGGTAACATCACTCCATGCTACAGGATCCTGGAACAAATTGTTCAACTAGAGTTAATGCTATAAACTGGATCAATCTGATCTCACACATTGGGTAATCTCCATAGAGTTACTAATTTTTCCTCTAGTAGAAATAGACTATCCTCACCCATCGTTTTTTAAAGCAAATCATTTGAAAAGCTCTGATTGTGGTTTTCCCATAACTCCAACATGAAACATTCTAATGTATTTCATTTGATTCAGTAGCTGAAAGTAACAAAGCATTTAAAATGAAAGGAGCAAATTATTTTAAGTAATTGTCAAAGAGTAAATAGCTCATCACAGAAGTTCACATGAGAAAAAGTCTCCATTTGGCAATATACATAGAAATCCTTAAAACATGCGGTTTCATTGATCCAGAAATTCAATTCAACCTAAGGACATTACCATAATTTTTCACAAAGGTTTATATATGGTTATTTCTTTTAGTAATAATTGGTTGCTACATACATACCTAATAATAACAGCACATTAGTATAAACATTTTCATAAATGTATATGTTAAAATACTATGAATGAATTAAACACAAAGATAAGAAAGTTAAGAAAATAGAGATATGCTTCAATTTGGGGAAAAAACTGAACATCTCCATGAATATAACACTTAAGGGAATATGTAATGTCACCTTGGGTTGAAAAAAACCAATATGCAAGTGTGTGTATCTTTTTTATGTATACATTTATGCATGTCTATACAAAATGGCACTTGAGACCAATGTGAAAGACATCTACAGAAGCTGGTTCCACAGAGGCTGGGATTGGGGAGCACTATGGAGGAATGTTTATTCACTAAGGGAAGTGAGGCCATGTGATAGGGCCTCCTATTTAAAAACCCATCTGGTTTAATTTGTTTTTTGTCAAACATTCTAAGTGGTATAGCACTGGCCTATGCATTGCTATACAGAGGTAACTTGTGGTTGCTGTGACGCTAAGCACTGACACTGATGTGCCAACTGCGATAATGGTTACCCATGGTGGACAGTGTTTGGTAGAGCTCCCTGATTAAAACAAGCTTGGAAGCAGGAGTGGCATCCATTCCCTGATTAGAACAAGCTTAGAAGCAGGAGTGGCATCCAAAATAGCTTGCCTCCGAAAATTCTATGAACAGTGCTCAGGTCTTTCGTTCACAGGGTCACTATAGGTCATCTACAACTTGACAGCACTTAACAACTACAACACAGAAAACATACCAAATTGTTAACTCCGGGCTCAGGAGTAGTATTGGCAGATAAGAGAAGAATTTAATGAAATAACATATGAGCAAGAGCCTATGGTGATGAAGGAAGAAGTTCAAGCTG